TAGGCAAAGCTTGTAACGCGGCTATCAACGACACGGTTTCTTGAGGACTAATGCGAACAAAAGTATTAGTTAAAAAATATACATATATAAGAAAAAGACAATGAATGTGTGAGGATATACGTATGAATGTGTAACTAATACTAAATTATATTTTGACCGTCATGCAGTAGTTTAGTTTAATAAAGGCAAGAAGTATTCGACCACGCTACGGACGTGTAAATGAATTGTACGTAGCAGTTGCACTATACAGTTAAAAAAGAAGATTTATGCAGCTGTAATCAAATGCCATTTAGCGCTTGTCTACTTGTAGAGTAGAAAATTAAAACATATGGAATTGACGTAAATTTTGACACTTGTCAGTATTATCCCCATACATTTTGATTTCTACTCTCTCTATAGACAAGCGCTAAAGTGGCGTTTGGCTAAAGGCACTGGTAGTGGGTTTAACAATGAGGTTACTTTAATACATCTGAATATATTTTTAGGAAAATCCATTTCGAGAAAATTAATCAATATTCTGTACCTAATCTAATAAAAAATCCCATAAATATAAGTTAAAATCCTATAAAAGATTGAAGGGTAACCATAATGAAGCGAACTCCCTCGGCATTGTGATATTTCACACAAATGTTTTAATCAAGGGGATTAAAACGTCCCTGTACCCTCGTATCAACCCTTAATGTCGCACCACCGTACGCATACGAGGGGTATATGCGACCATATCGCTGTATCGTCATTTGGGCACCTAAAAATGAGCAGATGTCAGTCATAAAATATTATGTAAAAACAAGTGTGTAATATTTAAATAACATTGGTTTTCTCTGAATTTGTTTTTTATGTACTGAAAACACTTTTTATTATACTTTTTAAACTTATCATACAATGGACATTTAACACTTTTAAAGAGGATCCATTCACCATCCACTATATATTGCATTTTGCTACCAATCAATTATAGGTTAGTGCTATTTTGTTATTATTGCCATTCTTGCCATGAATATTGACTGATAATTTTGTTAATTGTACAGTATTTAGTACTATATTCAGTCAGGGTTTTCAATTTAAGAGATATAATATGAAATACGCATACTGAAAGGGTACTCAATTTTAAGTTGTTGTTTAACGTATGGGATAGCCATGCTTCGGCACGAATGGGTCAGATCGTCCGGAGTAATACCACGGCCTCACAGAAAACCACCGTGAAACAACGGTAGCGTTGTTTTTTTTTGGGCCTCCGGTAATCTCACCGGAGCCTTCCCCTTTCCCCAATCCCTAAATCCTCAACAATCCTTAATACTTAATCCTCGAAAGGCCGCTAACGCACTTGTAATGCCACTGGTGTGTATGAGCGACGCCGATTCCTAACCATCAAGTGATCCGTCTGCTTGTTTACCGGCTATCCCATAATAAAACATCGACACTCGAGTCTTTTCATCTAATAATAGTCACAACTTAAATGGTTAGATAAATATGTCATGCCTTTTTTTAAGGGGCGAAAATCATCCAATGTCTTCTCCCACCCTGGTGAGGTCTCGCCTCGGAGTGTCAGACTCTTACGGACCAAAAACCACCCCGTTCCTACTTCTGCACTTCGAGCCGGAGCCCCAGCAACCTGTTAAGCCCTCCGCGGCTCAAATATGTCATGCCTACAGACACATTACAATTTAAATTGATCCTAGCGACATATTTTACTTAGACCACACCCAAACAGAAATGCAGGAGCCAACTTGGAAATGCCAAATGAAATCTCGAATTCTGTAAAATAATTTCAATCAGTTGGATATTAAGTTGGCTGGTTAGTATCGGATTCAATCTGACTGTAGATTTGTAGATAGGGTATGGATGTTTTAAATTCGAAATTTCTGGGTCGAGTCCTTGTATCAGAGTGTATTGGAGTTAGACGTAGTAACGTATAACATAACATCACGCCTTTTTATCCCCGAAGGGGTAGGCAGAGGTGTACATTACGGCACTTAATGCCACTGTACAATGTAACAGCCACTTTTCACTATTTATGTTATGAGTCCCATGTAACAGGGGATGAGCCTATAGCCATATACCGGGAACACTTCCAGACTTCGTGCTACTACTGAGATTTTAAAAACTTAGTAATACTTTGCCTGACCCAGGAATCGAACCCGAGACCCCTTGCCCGACAGTCGCACTTTCGACCACTCGGCCAACGAGGCAGTCGATGTATTAGAGTTAGACGTAGTACGTCGAGTTACAATTACAACATAAAAATGACATTGTAGGTTATGATTTCTTTATAATTCCTCTCTTGAGTACGCTGAAAATAAGATCCTACTTACTAAGACGGTGCTACTAGAAGTCGGTGCCACAAACCCTTATTAACAATCACACCCCATCTTGGCTTTTGCAGGCAACATTCGCGTTCACCAGTTGTACAGTGACCAGACCTACGCTTTCTGTTGTATTATTACCTTTATTGTTTGTATATAAAGTCGGAAATCCTACGAAAATGCCTGGCATGGTGGCCACTGTGCACAAAAAATAATGACATAATGTCAGCGACGTTATGCTCGAAATGACAAGACTACCAGTATAAATTGAGTACCCTTTTGAGACTCGGTTGCCAAAGAAACAAAAAAAAGAGTACCCTTTCAATATTCGAGCGTTATTAATCGATTACAGTTAAAAATGTTTGAAGGTGGAAAGATAAACAAAAACCGCTTCACGCAGATCAAGCCGCAAGAAAAACCTAACATATTTATTGAATTTTATGTTTCATCTGTTTTTAATTTATAATACTAATTTTCCATGTTGTCATACAACCATAATAAAAAAAAAACAATTGACACGTCAATGAAGTCATTCTGGAAATCCGATTATGAAAAAGCCACATTTGTTAATACAAAAGTAGTCTTTAAACATCGGAAATAGGGTCTCTAAAGGTGTGATTGCTTAGATCTTGACTAGTTTGAAATGTATTTTTTCAGTATTCCCGAAACCTGATGCTCTCAACAAGTTTCATTTTAGAGTAGAGTAGAGTAGTTCTGTTTAGAGTAGTTTTGTAGTAGATATACTAAACCACAGCAAAAACATTACCCTGGCATTCAATTGGTTACATTACATTGGTTCATTATTAAAACAAGAGCAATCTGTTGAAATAGTGTATTTTTACATTTTCAAAAAAAAACAATAGAATATCTATGCATTTAATTAATTAATTATTCTTTTATCCTAAAGATTACAAAAATAAGTATTCTTATCAATACAATTACAAAAAATAAAACATTTTTTAATTACATAGCTTCAATTGCATCACCCAAACTTTATATAGTGTTAATCATACTTACACAGTTGAAATTACGTTAAAATTTTACTAAAATAATTATTTACATTGACGCCTTGTCTCAACGGAAGACTTATTATTTAATTTGACTATTATAAGATGAATTTATCGTCGCGTTTAATTCTTTTAGTGTGGCTACTGTGGACGAGGTCTTTAGCTCCATTCTCTAGTTAAGCCAGGCACTAGTTTACCTAACAAATTAAAGGGCTTTTCGATTTAGAAATTCATTACAGTAGCACGGTAGTTTAAATTGTGCCCTTTTTAACATGGGACTAAGGGTGTTAGCACACCCAGCTTAAGTAGCTCGATCGATCGTCAGGTAGAAAATATCGATGGACATCGACTTATCCATTCTACCATCGATGGGTGGTAGATCGATTCGTGTGGTAACATCCTTAAAACGCAACGTCAAAAATATCCCGTAAGGCTGAGTAATAAGTTATGGCGCATCGCGTAAGCGGAATCCGCCGCGCAACAAATTCCGAATTCGCCGTTTCGTGTGTGACAGATTCTGCTTTCACGATTCGCCGTGACCAAGGACTCAGCCTTAAGGAAAAGCTGAAATGATGTTGTTTCATGTTATAATAAGTCTTAAATTATGTCATGTTAAAAGATAGCTACCGATAAAGCCAAGGCTTCGTACATGACAACCTAAATATTACTGAAGTAACTATTAGTGGACTCAATTTTATATTTAAACTTAATAAATACATTTTAATTATGTATGTATATTTTTATTATAATAATGTATGTATAAGATTTCATGTAAATGTCACTTAATTAGGTAACTAATCTGGGTACCAAAATGATGTATTTTTTTATTGTTTACAATAAATACGCATTTATTAGAGAGAAATGCTGCCAAGTATAAATTATACTAAATATCCCGTTTATACGAAGTTAGAAGGAAAAATAAGAAATGAATAAAATTATACTCTTAATTTTTCTGTATATTTTCAAAAATAAATTTAGTACATTGCAATTATGAATATTGTTAATTGTGTTCAAAGATTATGAGATGGTGTATCTATATATATTCTGAATCAATTACCGTAGCATTGGACAAAATTTACAATAATCAAAACTATGTATTAAGTGAGATGATTGTAATAATTATATATCTGTTACGTGTAAATAGAGCATTATATATATATATATATATAGAACGTTAAAAAAAAGAAAAGAGGAGTTTTAATAATGTAATAATAATAATGTGAAAAAAATTGTCAAAATTTCTCCTGGTAACACAATATTTTGGCATTCCGGTCACCATTGACAAAAACTTTTTAGGCGTTATATTAAAAAGATATATTAAGACTATGTTACATGGAGACCAGTTACATTGGCACATGTAGTCAACAGAAATGTATAGTGTATAAGGTTCAACCCTTATAAATGGTTATAATCCGTAAACCTCTAATAATAGATAAATGTTTGTGTAATATGTAATTACAAAATACAGTTATGTGTGTATGTAGATATCGAAATAGGTAAGATATTTATTTGAAACTTTGTAAGGTACTTACGTTTTTTTAGTAAACGTACTTGGTATAAGCCATCGTGGGTATATTTTGACACAGTGAAAATAATTACAAGATAAGCTAAATCGTTTTTTATCGCGTCAGTTTGGGTAATTTGAAAATAGAACTAACATTTTAGAGGATGGTGAAATAATTTTTTTTTCAAATGTCTCACAGTATATATAAATGTATCAATGTAAATCGTTCTGACCTTCAAAATCAAGGCATTGTCACAGTAATTGGTGCTTTAAACAAAGATCCCAAAGACACACTTTACGTATTGCACCATTCAGCACACGTGAATAACTTATACCTTCTATAATACATACATAAAGATTAAAATAAGTACAAAAGTTAGAACCATTCTTGCTATTGATATTGCACTACTATTGAATCGAATTAATAAGCATTGATTTACTAAAATAAAAATATGTAATAATAATAAAATTTAATAGTTGAGACTTTAATATAGATTATAATTTAAGCTATTTACAAATACATAGTGATATTCAGAGTGTAAATAGAATCAGTAATTTAATAGAAACCATTTTTTTTCGAATTGAGTTTCGAAGACTCCGAACACCACTAACAGTTGACAAGCAACCGGCAAGAGCTAACAACTAAACAATTAATGGCATTATAACTTTCAATGAAACAATTTACTTAACACACTATGGTGAAAACGTCAATATTTCGTAATATTAAGTAAAATAGATACGTATTGGATGAACTTGACCTCCCTAATGACGTAAACGATAACGCATTTGCAACTTAAATCATAAATATGCAAGTTTGCGTTTCTGATTAACAGCATGCATAAACTGCTTTAGATGAGATAATTATTTAAAAAATAACAATAAGTGATGGTTCAGATAATTTAGAAATTACTATCCCATCCTGAGAGGTCATCTGGTGGTGGTTCATCGGCATCTGGTGGATATTGGTCGAAGTTGTGGGTGTCGACTGGTGATCTCACTACAGGGGTGATAGGAGGCTCAAGGGAACGTTGCGCGAGGCCTTCCCAGTTGAATCCATCGAACCATCTGGAAAGTAAAAACGAGACTGAGTATGAAGAAGATGAAACAATTAAACTGTAGTTTGTGCTTTATAATTATGCTTTATTAAATAATTTGCGAGTTCTTTACTTAACAATCATATGTCAAAGCACTTCATATATATTCCGATTAACCCCCCGTGCATCAGGTGATCCGTCTGCTACTTTTCCACGTTGTCTTATAAAAAATACTTACTTATGTTTCTGTATCTCAGTAATGCCTCCTCTCTGATAGCCAAGTCGTTCAGCAGGATTATCTCGACACAGCTTTTTGATCAAGTTAGTGGCATTCCTAGTGATACAGCGTGGGAATTCGACGGCATCGATACCCTTGAGAATCTTGTTGTAAGTTTTCATTGGATCAGTGCCCGTGAATGGTGGTGAGCCAGTAAGCAGCTCAAACATAAGAACACCTGAAATAATGAAGATGGTTACGTTAAAGAGGATGTATTTAAAGTAAATTGTCCAAAATTTCACACGAAATCGGATTTTGGCAATTATCGCCCATAATTGTACGCCCACAATTGTAATTAAAGGAACTGATGAAGTAATCAATATTTTGGGGAAATTAATTGCTTCTACGAATAAAATGTTAAAACAATTAATGAAAGGGTTGGTTAATCACAATTTGTTTTGGTAGGAATGATTGCAAAGACAACGTAGAAAAAATGCTAGAAGGTCATAGCGTCTTCGTATAAAGGACATTCAGAAAAAAGTAATTTTAAATGGTTTATCTAAAGATTGAGGAAAATTTAAGGAAAATGAGGTTTTAAATAAGAGATCTCACCTAAGGACCAATAATCCGCACTAATATCATGACCTCGGTTCATGATTACTTCAGGGGCTACATACTCCGGCGTACCGCAGAAAGTCCAAGTCTTGCGGCTTGCTTGCAATTTCTTTGAGAAACCGAAGTCTACTAGTTTCACGTATCCTTTAGAGTCTAATAGTAAATTCTCTGGTTTGAGATCCCTGGAAAAGATATCACAAAATTTATTATTAAAAAAGTCTACTATTAAAGATGTTAATTGTTATAGACCATAATGGCGTTAGATGGTTCCTTACCTGTAAATAATATTTCTCGAATGCAGGTAATGGAAGGCCTCAACCACACAAGCAGTATAGAATCTTGTAGTCGCATCGTCGAATTGGCCTTAAAAAACAAAAATATGTAAATTAGGCACTTTAGATATAAATATTTAAATTTCAATGATACAAAGAAGCAATAAGTTTGATATTCACCTCGATCTCTTAAAATAGTCCACAACTCTCCTCCAAGGCAAGTCTCCATCAGCATATATAAATATTTGCGGTCCTTGAATGTTTTGTATAATTTCACAATGAACTCGCAATTCATCTCTGACATTATCTCCTTCTCGGACATGATGTGCTGTTGTTGTCTCGTTTCAACGATCTGGGCCTTCTTCATCTGCTTCAAAGCGAAGGACCTGCTGGAGTCGCTCTGAATCTGGACCAGTTCCACTCGACCGAAGCCTCCAATACCAAGCGTCGCGATGATACGTAAGTCTGAGAGACGCAAATTGGCGAATTCCTCGTTTAATCTGGAAAAGTAGATAGATTTATTAGAAATTTGACCTTAGACTTATTTTCTAACGGTCACGGAACGAATTTGAGGCTTTTAACAAAGAACGGCCTTTGGTAGCGTACGGCTGAGAATTGTCTCGGGAGGTGGTCTTGACCCAACAATTTCACGACAAAATCTGGCGTATTCAATGAATTCGGACAACGCATTTTTTATAGAATTGTCTTCTTGTAAACATTACAAAAGTGATAAAAACAGTCTTGAAAGACTATCTACTTCCTCTCTAGAGTTGCTGTTCGTATATCGTTATATTATTGATACAAGTTATATAATAATAAAAACCGGTATACCAGGAATCATTGATAAAGACTATGTCAACATAAACACGTGTAGATACAACATGTAAGTATCTAACAGCCGTGTGCACCCAGACCGATATTGAATTATAAATAAAAAATATTTATGTCTACAACTGATTTCCATTTAATATGAAGAAATGGCCCCAAACCATCAATTCACCAGCTTAATAATAACTTTCTTAGAGTTAATTGATATATCTTTGGTTTTTGCAACGATTCCATTACTAAGTCATCCAGATGCGGCATGCGCCCATTGTTTTCATTCGCACTTAGCAATCTGTGCAACAAAAACGCGGGAAACGTAATTGTTATCGCTCAATGCCGTGGTAGACACATTTTCTACGTCAAAGAGGAAAGTTAATAACCGATTTGCTTCCACTATTTAATTAAAATTCGACATTGATGAGGAGAAAGTTTTCTAAATCATTTTTAATTTCTACGACTTACCATACGTTTGCATCCATATTGTTTGCATCGAAACAAAAAATAGAGTTAGTGAAATTAAGATACAATTTGTTATCATTTCTATTCATATTGCAGTGGCCATTGTTGGAGTAAGAAAAAGATTAATAACCCACACAATGGTGAAGCTGCAGTGCGCGGTAATTTTTCTGATGTTATCGCAGTTGGCTTAGTTTCGGATCAGTGTGAACTTGACATCGGACGTTCACAAGCATAAATCCTTCTTAATTGATGGTAGAAAATGATCACTTCATTAAAATCCAGTTGCATTTTTCTCACAGTTATTAAAAAGATATCAAAATTAAAACACGCGACTTTATCTAATACGAGTTTATGAAATCTATTATATCGGTTCTTAAAAAAATAAATCTGTTCTATGTTATAATACTGACTTAAGCCAACTGTAATAACATGTATGGGAACGCACGAGTATTGTAGCCAACAGGACATGGCATAGTCATGTGAATTGTACTAATTATAACAATGATTCATAATATGTAAGAAACTGAATGAATAAAACTGAAACCAGAAGTGTTAGATGACGATTTAAGTAAAAGTGTTAACTCACCGTTGCCTACTGTCTCCTTCGTCCTTGTATTTCGTACGGATCTCGTCGAGAGCCGATATTAGTTGGTTGAAGGTCTCCCGGTCGATGACGAGGCAAGTCGTGCCCTCCGGCGAGTCACAGATAATGTTTGCTGTGCGAAGGTCATCCCTGGAAATTAAAAATATTGCAGTTGATTGAAATGTGTATTTTTAAGTAATATATTTAAAACAAGAAGTGATCCACAGCAAAATAGAAAGTAATGAATTGAAGTTACAAATAAATGTTTCAGTAAACGTTTTGTTTATTACAAGCCACTGTACGTTAAACAATCTTACATTCCGTGCTCAATTTAACCCTTAACTACCCAGAATGCTTTTGTGACGTAACTGACCAGTAGTGTCCAACAGACTCATTTTATAAATGTAAGGTATGATGAAAGAAATTAAAGATATTTTGAATAAAAAATACGGTATAATGTATATTTACTCTTATTTACTGTAGATATTACAAATAATTGTTCTTTTCAGAATATTCAGAACAGACATTGCGGTTGCATTTAGCACATTATTGTTGAGAAGCCCTTGATAATTTCGAAGGGCAAATATTATAACGATTCTTTCTTTTTTCACTGTAGCTTGATATATCGGATTGCCAAAGATAGGGACCTAGTATTCTGTAAAATACAACACCTGCCTGTTTATTGACGCCTATAGTCAATAAAAGTCCTCGGAATGCTTGCATTTCGATATTGTCTGTTGATTACCATCGATTTTGTAAAACTCTTGCCCTTCAGTATTGGTAATTTTTTTTATTTTACTAGTACTTATAATACGTGATCGTTGAAAAAAAGGCTGAAACTATCTATCGGATCTATTATAGCTTGCTCCGGAGGAAGAATCACTTCATGAATACCATCGTAAATTATGTTGTGTCGAGGAGTTCGGCTTTGCCTGTCACGTTCTGATTTCCAAGTTGTTCCACCTCTTCCTTTTATAAGTGTAAATTGAGACGTATTCTTGTAATGGTACATCATTACTCTTACTACATAATTGTTCATCGTCGTTCTCAGATGCTGATTCTGTCACATTATTTTCACTATCAGAACAGCTGTCAACAGCAAAATTCTCATCATCACTATCGCACTTACTAATATAAATGTTATCATCGTCACTTTCAACATAGCCACGTTGAATTTCACTTTGTTTTAGTTGCGTTTAGCCATTATATTTCAATAAAAACTAATTAGAACATGACTATATTTTGACAACAGTTTCTGATTACTGATTACTGAAGATTACGATTATAACACAAACAAAGATCCAGCAGCCGCTATTGCCTATCCGACACCATAATATTATAAGTAAATGTAAATAAAAAACAATATACCTTCACACTTGAATCAAATAAAATGATATTGTGTCTGTTGGACACTTCTGGGTTGATGAAGTACTATTTTCGTTTATTGACTAAAAATAATAAATTATTCATATTACAAATGTTTTAATGGCACATTAAGATTCGTAAAATATCAGTGATAAATTGGATAAAAAGCCGATTCATAAAAATAAATACTTTAGTTTTTATGAAAACATAAACGCAAAAATGTGTCCGCAAGACACTTGTGGGTTGTTAAGGGTTAAAAGAAATCAAAGTGGATAGATTTATATACAAGTAAATTTATAGATATACGTTCTAACAATCTTAATGCAAGTCAAGCTTACCCTTGCAATGCCTTCTCTCCGAAGAAATCGCCTTTCGTGAGAGTTCTTATAAATTTCTCATCATTACTGTTTGGTGGTTTCTGAGTGACTTTCACCTGAAAAAGAAATAATAATGACATAAGACTCTGTTTCTTAAATAATTCTAAATGAAGGAATAGTATACCATCCATAATTTTTGTAATCGTTGTATTGTTAAAAATGGTCGTAATTAGCCATTGACGTCAAAATTGCTGACGTTTTTGTAATGGCGTAGATGCAGACCATAATAACAGGTCGAGTGAGCTTATTACCGTTATTATAAAAACGTGGAGCGGACGTTTAGACAACATCGAAAGTTGTCATTAAAAGCCGGATGGACTTGAAGTAAGGCACGGAGGGATAACGGCCACTCATGTGCAAGCATCATAATACAGTTCGCAATTTAGTCAAGAGCATGTAATTACCGGTTCCGCTATGTAAATTAGTAATTAGCCTGCACAACTGATAAGGGAAGCAATAAATTCTTTTATATTTCTCAGGAAACCTAAGTCGGTAGTAATTGGAACAGGCAACGGTAACAAAAAGCTGAATCAGACTTAATCAGAACAATAATCACGAGTCCAACTGTACATACGATATAATAATAAAATAAAGCAGGAACTGAGCTAATTCAACAATGAACTGAAACGTGATAAATGCTCAATGATGCATCAAAACTATAATGGCCGAAACGTTCACACCTCACGACTAATTAAAAGTCTAAACATAAACTGTTTGTGTTTGGTAACCAGACCAGCTATTCCTACTTTTGTTTGTTATATTAAAAAAAAGCGTGAACTTACAATGTATGTTATATGAGGATCATAAAAATCTGTTTGATAAAAGACAGAAAAGTGAAGCGCTCTCTATTCCAAATATACCGGATGCGGCTTTACGACGAAGTTAAGTTACATGTGAACCAGATTTGGATAAGGAGGATTCAACTAAAAGACATACAAACATTGATGAGATAACAGCGGAAATGCTAAAGATAATGTAACATCAAATAACAATCGCCACTGATGAAGTCATCCGAATAATTTTACAAGATCAACAAAACGGGAACTATTGTCACAGCTCACTGATTTAAGAGGTGCTCGCTTTGTAAATGTTTATTTCTTAGAATTTTAACAACTGATCTAGTCGGTCATTTTGTGTGACCAATTGTGTGGTCGTTTCATATTTTGATTTTAAACAAAGCAAATAGAGGTAGATCCTGTTCTGTTTTTTACCGAATTAGTGCAAGTTTAAAATATTTTTTGCTAAATTGCAACATTTCTTTCAATGCCCGCTATTACTAAACTATTATTGATTTTACCAAACTCGTTTTTTTATTTTAAAAATTAATTTGGTCGTGGCATCATTACATGGTATGATTTGAACACCGCAATTTTATTGACAACTCGAATAACTCTTTCCCTGATTGCCTAATACAAATAACCAGTATTTAAAGCGCATTACCACACCAATCCATCCATGGCAATTATAGGCCAAAATAATTTCATTTACATATTGGTACATAAACATACTAAATCATCACGTAATGTAACTACATTTATAGCTGTACTAACTTTATTGGCAATGTGAATATTCAACGGATTACCAAACTTAATTACTTCAAAAATTGGGAACATTTCATTTGTAATAATGAAATAATCATTAAATTTTGAGAAGAATAACAATATTACTCCATTCTTACGACGTTTTGTTAAACTTGATTCGTTGTTTAGTCATTTCACAGGTTTTTAGAACAATGCTCCCAATGCTGTAGCAACCTTGCAGATTTGTAACGCAAATGAAAATAATGTTCTACTCCACCAAGTAAGATATTTTCCTCATTTTTTTAATACTACAAATAATCTCGTCATTGACGCTCAAATTAGCAAAGTGAAATCTGCCATCGTACACAGTATAGGTATGGCATTACAACTAAGCTTGAAAAATCTCATTTATATCCTTCAAATAAAACTTTGGATCCAGAATCTAAAGCCTTATTTTAAATGTCAACGTTCACATAAAATTTCGTTCTACCATTAAAATATTCATAAAAATTTGTTCATAATGTTGAAAATGTACAGATTTCAATTCATCTGCTTTGCCCAAGAACTTTACATATAATGGCTTAAATATCACCAACTAATGTTTATGACTTATAATATTATCTCTTTATCAGCTAAATAACAAAAATCTAAACGAGTTTATAGCAACTAGTAATAGAGTGGTTCCGTAATAAAATGTTTGTATTCAAAGTTTATCTAGAAATATTTGTTAATTGAGCTGCGTTAAATTGCTTCATTCGCTACGATTTTTTATACAAACAAACTTATGCAGACGAAAAATGTTTATAATTCTGCACGAAACGAACACATGTACAAATGTTAACATTCAGAATAACTGTTCTATGGCAATGACTTTCTACCACCAATCAGGGTAAAGTTAAATAGAATACTTATTTTGAATCCTGTCAGATTCCTGTTTTAGAAACAAAGACAAGATTCAATTCAAACAATAAGTCCGGTGTGCCCAAATATTTCCCACGAAATACTCAAAAATCTGGCCTCAAAATACCATACAATCCTCTCGCTTATGCACAGTGCGCTGACCTTGTGGCCACAATAGCCGGGCTTTTGGCCTCTACTACCTCCGTGTTATATAAAAATTGAGTCACACCAGTGATTGTTTGTACAATGTTACGATCTACAATTAGTCCTATATAAATTAAAACATCATCGCAATCAATTCTGAGTTTGATTAAAACTGAACAATGACCTCTAGCAAATGGATAAAGTTTTAGTTAGCTCGCATTAGAAACATGACCAAGCAATGACGATGCGTTTCTTATATAGGTAGTGTTTATTTTAGAATGTTGAACGTCCATTCCATCCTTGAAAGGTGTTGAATGTTTGTCAGCAATTTCGACTTCAACAACTTACTGTTTATATATCAAGGATAAAGTGTAAAGTCATAATATACATACCTACATTTACACCGGTCAGAAATAACAATCAATGTTTGCGGAGACGTAATGCTAAATGCCAAGGTGAACCTCTTGCACAGTCACCGCGTTTACTGCACGAAGCTTATACAATTTAGAGTCATGCGAACATAAAGGAAATAATGTTGAGACTTTCGAAACTTAGTCTCTTATAAATAGGTAGCTACATGATCACAACACAATTGTGACAGCAAAATGTACAGTTACACAAACACGAACGATTGCTACAGCTTCTAATACATCTTACTTGAATCATAGATTCTTTTAACACGAATTATGATGACATATATCCCGACCATATCAATATTAAAAACTATGAAATAATCAGTCTACAAAACTTTATCTTACTCTTAACAAAGAAAACTACAAAACCATTCCAAATTTTAACCTTATAATTTGCTAAAATTTTATCCGATTGTGGATAAAAATGTCGATGACTAACACAGAGTCTAAAAGAGCATAAATACAAAGCCAGTGTTATATCATCAGGAGAAATATTTTGAAAGCGAAAAGATGATTACAGATAATCGAATTACGTGGTTCTAAAGACGGATATGTTTACAAAACATAGAGGCGTGGTCAAAGGTAAAAAAGTCACGTCGCTCCGAGCATTGGACACTCGAAAGTTGGTCCAAACAACGAAAGTGAAATTCTCGAGGTCCGTGAACATCTTCATACAATTATGTTTGGAACAGATTTCTTTGAAACACGATGTCATCATAATAAATGACCACAACATAATGAAGTTATTCGAAAAACTATTTTTAGATGACAAAGTGATTGTCAAACTAATGTTCTTACTGATAAAAGTAAAAAATCTTGTAACCATCGAATTAGAAAGTCGTTAACGCATTAGAAGATGAAGAAAACCATTTAAGTAATAGCATCATAATTTCCCATAAGTCATTCTTTGGTATTACGATTAGAATAAAACATCGATAAGTTTTGCATAAACAAGTATTATTACTGGTCGATTTAGTGGACTATGACTAACAGTGTCTATTTAAAGACAGACCATGATATAACGGCAAATATGTCAACGTTCACTCTGAAATTTATTCTTGTCAACAAATAGATTGTTCTTGCAGTTTTGAACACCATTATTCTTATAATCTTTTAATATTAAACAGAGTTAATGACTTGTTACTTAATAACCGAATACAGTTATGATATGATGAAATCTTGACCCTATTGCGGAAGATATGATTAAATTGATTATGCCAATCGCTACCGCGCAATATAAAATAGCGCTAGTTAAAAAATTAATTGGAAGATTGAAGTTCCGGGGCTGTATAATTGAATTGATAAAAATCATTCACCAACAATACTCAAATTCCTAATCCCCAAAAGCCCGGTAACGCATTCGTGGCACCGATTGCTTACCATCAGGTGATCTGTCTGCTCGTTTACCGGCTTATTTAATAAAAAATCCATAAATAAGATGTTTACCTGTCCCTTAGAGATAATGAAGAAAGTATCACCACGGGCGCCTTGTCTAATGATGTAGTCACCGTTCTGATAGTGAGTCTCTTCCAATACGTCCGATATCTTGATAAGTGTGTCTTCGGGCAAATCTTTGAAGATCGGCACACTGTTGAAAAAGAGACAAAAACATTATAAACTGGACCAAAGATTATGTCAGCAGAAAAAGTAGGCTCGACTGTTACGTTTGCAAGTAGAAAGTGTTTGGCCGTCGGCGTGTTATGGAATTTTTACGCCATAAAATAAACAAGCATGGTTTTTGTGTTGTTATAGTGTATAATTTGTTATTTCATAGTTTGTTCAGTACTTATTTCATGCTGAAGTCATTTTAGTTTATTTTTGTTATTTACATAATTTTCTTCGCACTGATGCTTCTTGGATTTCTACATTTGTGATTATTTTTAATCAACTTCGAAAAAAATTGTATTAATTTATATTAAAGTGATATTCATCTGCTTTCAAAATGGCCTCTCACAGGTGGTCTTAGTCCCTAATGGCATAACCGGATTACGTTCATCAATTTCAAGTTACAATCAAATCTCATATCATCTTAGACACCATAGCATTAGGCTATACTGCACTGCAGTAATAGATTTACTATAATTAAGGTCATCACTATGTTAAAAAAAGTATTTGCTCATACGAATACAACTTTTACTATCAAAACTTCATCTACGTCATATTCTCTCAAATTCCATCAACCAATTTTATAATAATTATAGTTGAATACTTATATAACTTTACCAGTCTTGGAGTCAAATTGCCTTAAGTTAGTTGTGTACATATTTTATCAATCCAACCAGCCGTTTGGTTGAAAGTGAACGTTAAGGCTGGTTGGTCAACTTTGAGTGGTTTCCTTTAGTGACTCATGTGGTGTAAACCTACCTCTAAATATAAATATACCTAAATCGCTTCATTTACTTAAAGATGTAGGTGGAAGTATAAATGACTAAGACTATTTTTGTGAGGATAATCAGGCTCGTAAACAGGTCTTTCATAATAAGAAATATCAAAAAGTTTAATAGATTGCACATCTATAGAATCTATACAATCTGTATAGATGTACAATTTATTAAACTTTTTGATATTTACATTATTATCTTTTCAATGAAACATATTCTAATTATTATCTTTTCCATATCGAAATTAGCTGACATCATACATATCTACTATAGTACACTATGGCATTGTTCTAAGAAATTCTATAGATCTTTTATAATCTGTACAATATTTATGAGAGCATTTTTTCTAGATTCATATTCATAAGCATTTACAGTAGTAATTCTAGTAAGATATTTGCTAAACTGATAAACCAATGTATCGATATACTTCTTATCCCCCTTTTCATATAATTTATAGCGAAAGTTTTTGTCAGTGGATGTTTAAAATAGTATTTTCCATTCAATTTATTTTACTATTCTACTTATATATAGTCTGTACCTCTATCGGACCTACTTTTCGAACATACAGTTTAGTTACGTTGTAAATCTGTACCAAACTGATTTCGAGAGTCAATACTATTAGATATTGTGAAGTGATAATCAGTAGTCTCAAAATCTTTGTTTTTCCCAAAGATCTAACTGAGAATCTCGTAGTAGTCGACTATGAATATAGCATAAAACAACCCATTTATCACAATAACACACGCGAAGTCAACAATTACGAATACAGTAAACGTATGATTAGAAAATATCTCGAACAATTTTATTGATCTCTATTTAATGGGCCTATAAACGAAGTCGTATTGAGAATAAACCACTTATCATACAATTAAACCCACATAAAAGAAACTAGCCAGCAGAACAGTACAATATTGTCGTAACTGTGCGTCACAGTCAGCGCCAATGGAAATTGCTTCCATCATATCATTTTTCACGGTCACTACACTATAGACAAAGAGACCCCCTTTTTATTTATACCAATACTTTTTGGTCATGATTTTGTCGGTTTAGCAACCACATCTTCTGGATATTGCGACCACCTTTTGAGTACGGTGACCAGATAGTATTAATTTTACTGGATGTGTGCTAAATCTCTGGTTTGTAAATTGCCTTTTCAAACACGAGACTAAATCTATTATTGGCAAAAAGTGAATGCTCTATACGTTCAGAGAATGAGGTAATGTCATATACTGTTAAGGAAACGTTTCGAAATATAATAAGATGCCTTATTCATCGTCAAATAATATATTTTATATCCTGGATAAAATTACAACACTGAGACAATATTAATAGCCTCTCAAAAGTCTATTTAAGCCTTACTTGTATTATAAATTATTATGTAAGGAACAGATTTATTTGGTTTCTTTTAGTTGTCTCCATTCTGACCTTAGTACAAGGTCCGAATGGCCTCGCCCAATTTGACAGTAGGTACGTAGTTCCGCAATGTCAAGCCGGATTGAATTTATTATATTGTATTGAATAGCTGGCGTTTTTGTTGCATCTACCTCTATTACTTTATTATAGAAAATGACTGGTTGGTCTAACCCGTTTTCGTAGGTTGAGGTCTTGTGACTTTTAGTCATGCAATTTTATAATTCTTTATACAAATAAAATCGGAATTCAAAGCTGGTTTTGGTAAGTTCATTAGCTTTTACTAAGGATGTTTACAGACCCTTCGTTTCTCTAAGTCTTTTGAGATCGAACGGATGCTCAATGAGCGATAATATAGAGTAAGCCCTCTTCACTAATTCGAGAAACGTTAAAAAAACCTTTGAGCACCGATAGAGACAAACCAAACTATTATCTAGACACACTCTTAAAAAATCTGCATAGAACAACAACAAGACACTACATAAGCGAGACTTATCTGCTTCCCTAAACAATAAGCAACAATAACATTGAGTAAATTGATATGTAGTTGCGTTGTTATATTGCAACATCCATCGTGTAACTTGAAGCCAATGTACAAACGGGTAATTAACTAAAGTATGTCGAGGCAGAAACTACTACACCACGATCAGTATCTTGGACAGAGGAAAACTTAATATCATTAGCGATTATCAACACGTATAACATGATCAGTGGGGCATCCAATATTTCATCAAAACGGCTCTTCTATTGGTGTATGGAAATTACAGTCCTTATTCTGTCAACTTGCTACAGTATTGTTCTTGCAATATTTTATTAACATGCTATAAACAAAAACAATCATAGGGAAATTACTGCAATTACCAAAAGGGTAATAATAATATTCATAAACATACACCAGTCGTCACAATCAAACGCGCAATAATTAAGTAATTACAGAGTAAACACAACATTAAAATACGATGCAAATAAAAGAAAACGTATGTAACCAAACATCAGTACTAAATATTTTACTACTACATACGTAATTAATACACGAACAAATAAACACAATGAAAACTATTATCAGTGATCTTCAAAAACGTTACAGAATCTTTCTAATGACTGGTAAATGACAATGATATCAAAGTTACCGTTACACTGAACATTAAACACACGTCTGTACATACCTACTGCCTGATTTTAATTGTCTGGAAAGATAAATAAGAAACTCTATTTAATGTTGACTTCACTGCGTTTATCAGTTACTGCAACGTGCCTCATGTTCGAAACCCGCACGAAAAAACCGTATGCATGATACGCAGGAATTTACCTTTGTAAACGAATTTACGTATGACACAGAAGTAAATATTAAAGCCAGTAGATATTTAAAAAGAAATTAAAGAAAACATAATGATGTTTATAATGCAATTGATCGCATGTGCCTGTTTGATCTAAGAAAAAGTTTTGAAGAGATCAGATTACTTTTGTAATATTGAAAATATTTGATCAGATACGTTAGTGACGTAATTGGAGAATATTATGATATAGAAAGAACGATGACAGACTACGTTCGGCTCGTTTGTATAAACCACAAGATTGTGATCGTGTGGGTTTTTTGAACAGATATCATGACCCTTCAACTGTTATGGAGCTGTTAATATAACTAAAGAGTAGTCGCCATAAGTACACATTTGCCTAACCCCTTCCATATCTTATCCATTTAAATTCTTGCTGATACAATCTATAATGCATTTCAAACCATAGCCATGCCACATCAAATCAACATTCCTACTTTGGCAATGACAATGCATGGCGCAACAAAACTAATAAATCAGTCTAGAGATCCAGACTAAAATATTACTTGCATTTTGATTACGTATCTGTTTTAAAAATTATGCACATCTTATGCACTGGCTAGTCCTGCTTTCTCAGAATAGATTACGTCTGTGCAGTGAAAGGATTGCAATCACAAAATGTCAACTTGCAAACGTGACGGCTAGTAAGTAAGTATTTCGTAAATTGCGCGCGAGTGCTTGGGCAACATTGCGTTGACACTGGTTTCGCCAACAATGGCTTTGTTTTATAGCTACTTCAATAGCTTAGATGAATATAAACAATCTGTGCGTGAACACTGAATTGCTTCAAGAGTTAAATGCACGTCAAACTATTGCGTGCTCATTCACAATACCAATGATCATCGTGAAGAATTGGATCAGCAAAAAGTGCTACAAACATACTTTCCTACTTTGATCTTAAAATAAAACTAAACTGTGTTGAATCTTAACCTGAATGCCGAAAGAAGATATATTTATTTTACTATCTAAGTCATTATTATTCTTATTTCCAACATCGAGCTGACAAGTTCTCAAATAAAGCAACAACCAAGATTACCATCGCAATAGAGACATTAATCTTGAAGATGATGGCTTCAACTAAGATGGATCACCGCACTACGAACTTGTACGAGTATTTCATAGGATATAAAGCAAGTAACAGATGCTAAGCATTCTACAACACGATACCCTTGATACTAAATGGAAGGCTGTCTAGAATTACACGACACTTCAGACATAAGCAAATAAAACTTTTATGGCTCTAGGGCTTAAAACGGTTTTAATATATCAACAAGAACTCGTATATCGATCCTATAAACTTTTCTCGGTATATTCTATTCAAAAGTATTTACGATTCGGTAAACATATTTATGCTACCGTGTTTCCGATACAATAATTTGAATGTAGGTTACCATTAATGTGAATGTTTTGATGTTTTTAACTCTCGTGGTGGTCGTTCCAATAACATCGTTCATGTTATTAATAAATTAACATTCATGCGTTGCAATCCGTTCACATACTCGGCTCGTGTCAAGGCCCGCACTGCAGACGGTATTGTAAGAGTGCGAGTTCGTCGAAAGCAGAAGAATGGGCCATTGCACGCCCATTGCATTTGCATAAGTCTCCTGAGGTCAATATCCTGCTCTGTCATCGGTGAATATCTCGGAGGGAAGTTTGTATTGTTACGTTCGACTAATATAGATATTTATGGAAATCTTTTAGAAGATGTTAATGAAGACTTGCATATTGTAGAGAACCAGTAGTCTCGAGGACATGAATAATACATCATTGTTAGCCAATTTCATGCATACGGTGAACGTAGAAACAAGTTATTGTCTCTTTTGTTTGTTATTCTTAACGTGTTAAATAAGACAAAAGATGAGTGATTATAATAAAATGTAAAATTGCTGTCTTGAACAAAACTTTATACCAAATAAAAAATACTGAATATAAAATTACCGTTATATAACAAGAACCAAATGAAAGTAAGAGGAATTAAAGAAACAGTTGAAGACGAAAATAATTGAAATTATAAAATAATCATTCGTTTTAAAATTAAAAGTCCTAGAAGGTAGTTTATGGGAACCAATAGAACAAAAATGTGTTCTAATGAGAATTAGGACATTTACGTATTACAGAAACGTTGTTAGAACAAAATACGAACATTTGTTTGTCAGTCAAGTCAACACAGAGGGGTTACTGACCTCAATACTGTAAACAACGAATCTTTTGAGGAAGGATAAGTTGAAATAGCTCGGCTATATAAAGATAAAACTTTTACAAAAAGTGAACATTAGTGTCGAATTAATTCCGTGCCAAGTGTGAATGATCTGCGGATTTTATTTAAAGAAATAACGCACACCGTTCTCACAATTATTATAAAAGAGAACGAGTGTTTGTGATGTATCATCGTTATAGAGTTTTAATGTCGCCATGAAACGATCACGAACATCATAACAATTTTGCCACATCTCTTTAGATTTCTGCTGACTTATTATATTAAATGTTAAAGATCAGGAAAATAGTTGCTTCAACATAACTCGTAAGTTAGTAGAAATAAATACTATCAAAATCACTAAATTTATAAAATCCTTTTCTTCTGGATTTAATTATGACACAAAACCCATAAAATAAAAGACCATTACGATTCTGCTGTAAACGAAGTAAAATACTGTCGAATTAATTTTGAAACCAATATTTGATACTTAGTAGGAAGGAACGGCATACCCTTCAAGTCAAGCCACCCACGGGCACATGTCCAAATAAAGATATTGAACATTGTTTTGTATCGTGATTGAATTTTAAAGCTATCCATTAGGTCAACATTACTCATAAGGATATGAAAGATTAAGTAAACGTACCCTAATAGAACTTTGATGACTAATCCAATAACGATATTGTATCAACCATGGAGTATGTTTGAAGAAGAGACGATGATAAAAATTGCAAAAATGAGTAGGACTTGTCTACTTGCAAAATAACCAGGATTTAGGAAGCTTCTAAGGATATTGGCAATAGGAAAATAAAGGCTCTTACCTCTTGAGGAAGTCAGTGTATTCAGCCTGGCGGATGAGACCAGTGCGCATCATGATGGTCTGGAAGCACTGGCGTTCGATGGCCCATAGTCTGCAATCGGTGGCTGCCTTGATGGTGGCGGTACGTTTGCAGTTGTAGAGAATGGCCAGCTCTCCAAATACCTTGCCTGGTGCCATCGTGCTGAGGTATTTGTTCTCCCGCGACACTTCCACGCGACCCTCTGTTGAAGAAAGGATATTATTAGTATTAAGAGAAACTTCAATTTTGGACTTTGATATTAGGAAATCATAAGAAATCATATGTGTTAAAGAATGTTGACTGATTGGGTAACTTAATGTGCTGGTGACTGTAGTTAATATTCGTCGCTAGGCAAAATAATACCTACTCTGCAAGTTTTCATAGGACATTTTACAAACGATATATTAATATTCAAGGATACGAAATTGAACAATTAGGTCTTTTAAATATTTATGCCGATACTATTATAAGTTCAATTATATACTGTTTGCTAAAACATAAATAATCATAAATCTATTTAGATATGAGTTATTGAGGGTAATGGCTTTTGATTCTAAGGCTAGACGGTACTCCAATTACTTATTAAATATACTTCTTTATAATTCCCTTTTTTAATTCTGTTGGTTTCGGTTAATAAATCGATTTATTAGTCAATCTGATCACGTAGCTGTATGAATAATTGAAACTGCATCGTATTCGATAAACTAATTCGTTTTTTTGTGAAAATTTTCCATATGGTGAACTTTATAACTTGTTTGACTGCAACATTCACGTTTACCAATTGGAATAATTTCGATATGATACAAATTAATAAATACTGTCAAGGTTGCTAAGATTGAAATTGTCGGCGGATATTTGTGACTCATTGCAGTGAATGGACGTGGTAGGACAAACATACAAACTTTTTAAAGATTATTTAGTTAAAAACTGTCTGAAGCCTCATATAACTCAAGGTTACTAGTCCTATGGCCGTTTTCGTCAACCACTAAATTATCTCTGAAGGAAGGGTTACCTACTTAGCCCGAAGGAACACCTAAAATAGTCTCTTACCTGCTCTGTTAGGTTTCACTTGTAGGTTGTTGAAAACCAAAATGCTTTTCAATGTTATATCATTATTTTAGATCAGGAGTTTCTTTAAATTTAAGACAGGTTTGTAGAAACGGGCACTACTCTCACAGTAGTAGCTGAGGTAGTAAATGACAACGATTTTTTATTCGACCTGCGTATTGAATCCAAAATACTTTTCTTAGTAGCTGACTTTCCTATTAACAATAATACTGAGCACAAGTCAATACAAAATATTTTGAATTAGAAAAACGTACCTATTATCAAGTTCTTTGGCTCTTATCGCAGCTGTTACTATCGACAATGTCATGATAAGTGTGAGAACAAATAAAGAGGCATGTGAAACCAGAGTTTAATGAATGAGTTGATTTGTTAGTGCATAATTATGCTTAGAAATATTTTAACGAGCGATGACGAACGAAGACGAATATCACACGATTGAGATTAAAGTATTGTGTTTTATGAGTAATGGTGAATGTGAAACGTCAATTATGAGTATGATGAGTTCTTTAAATATTTCAAATAATAATGATCCAATCAGCCTGCAGATATGAGACAAGAGGATAGTGAGAGATATGCCAAGATTTATGGTCTAAAAACAGTACATTGAAAGAAAGCAGTAATCTAAACACATATAGAGCCTCTACATTTAATACTCGATTTTTCCGACCAAATTCTCAATTTTTGTCAAAAACTAGAATTGTTTATTTGCCTTTCTTGCTTTCAAAAATCTAACAGTATCTCCCTCAATACGTACGTACGTAATCAAAATAAACTGAAACAGTTAATTCTAGTAGTTTCCACGTAAAAAATAACAGTTATCACCTATTGACTGATAGATGTGCGTTGTTCAACAATTCTGTTGTCCTTCCGTCCTATTGTCTACGTCTATATGAACTTCATTCCCGTTATTGCCATTCATCATTCGTGAATTAGCTATGTGTGCGTCATTTTAATATGAAATTCCTGAGCAACTTAGAATAGCTACATGGCTAAGCATCATAAACATCAACAGATTATAATTGCAGTCATGTCATGAAATCCAGTATGAAACCTCAAAAACTAAATCAACAATCTACATAGTACTAATGCCCAGTCCTCAAACGGTTACCGGTGACCGCTCTCCACTTACTACATTATAGACCTTATTACTGATGTCTGGAGACTACTTTTGCATGAACGATTGTTGTGGATTTTTTTCATAATCGAGTATTCAGAAGTTAAATATCCAAGTGCAATATTCATTGAATATGTTTCATAATAATATTTAGAAGAAGATAAAAGTATTGTCTCAAAAGACTTAAAACATCATCAAGACGATGTTGTTCATATTTTTGACTGTTTTGTGTAACGTCATATCATAGTCAAATATTTGCAAAGAAACGTTGAAGTAGCGCAACAAGGACATGAGTTCACCTCAGTTTTATTATGTTTGTGATCATATCTTTTTATATAATCTTGATTTTGTAACGCAATACGTAATATACATGCCTATCTTTATTAAAAAATCGTTGGAAAGATATTATTATTCATGTATGTTGGTTTTTGCAGTTACAAGTCATATGTCGATTGCTCGAACCGAAATTCTTCATCTACCTTTGAAGTACATAAACGCTAAAACTACAACAAGAATTTAGCGAATCAATGATTTATTTGACATCAGCACTAAAACTTTCATTGGTGAAAACTGTAAATTTCTAAATCATGTGTGAAATGATTACAATGTAAAATACTTCGACAGTAATACGCTAGAGATTGTCAAGTTCACTTTTTATGTTGATAACTTTCTACGTGTGATTTTTAACATTTGTCTTCGAACATCGTTTATGATATAGTACGCGTCTACAGACCGCGAAGATTGTGGTCTAATTACAAAGTCGGGCAAAAAGTGCTAATGAATTTTGCTGTTAAGAAATTAACAGCAGTTAACTGGAGTCTGGAAGCCAAAGAATTAAAGAGCACATAAAAGTGTACATTTTTATAATACTACGGTGTAGGACATAGTGATACACATAAGTAAGATTGTTCATTCATACTTGTTCTTCTGGAAAAGAAAATATTCAGAATATTAAAAAAACTATGTCAGTCCTAATAAAGGTATGAATTACTGATGACAAAGTATGTCCAAGTAAATTTTAGCTATTTAGACCAACCGATGCAGATAAGCTGACTCTTAAGCCACTGACCAAACTAAGAACAAGAAAAGCACTTTAAACTTCACCTTTATTCAAATCCATTTCAATGCATTCCGTTTCTACATGAGCCAAAGCTATCATTACCCAAATCTGGATTTAACGAAATCTGTGTGGGATTAGAGGTAATAAAATTTTTAAGTTTACCTTAAAAAACACTTTTTATGACTTTAGGATTAGCTCTTTGGCTAACAGGAACGAGATTTTAATCTCGTGAATTATCTTATACTTCGAAAAGTAGTATTCAAACTTTCGTGAGAAATACTAATAAATTATTATGTTTTTAGCTTAATCAAAAATTTTAGCAGGCTGCAAACACTAAATGAAACCTTAATAACACCAATTAACAGGAAATCGCAGAAAATTTTACAAATCCTATAATTATTTCAAATATCATTCAAATTGCTGTTCCAGTTGCAGTTGACGTAAATGAAATAGTCAAAGACCGAAAGTGTTTCAAGGTGATTGACTTAGAACATAATGCTGGGGTCAGGAGTTCGGATACGTGTCCAGGCTTACTTACAGCCATTTTATTGTTCATGTAACATTGTACTGAGATCGCATTGATACTGGCTGGCTTTTCAACAAGAAACTTATCTTAATTTTTAGGTTACGATGTATTATCTTCTTTGAAAATTGTTTTGAGCACAATAATAATGATTTCTACGGATAAGTTGGACGACGTGCATTACTATCTACTCTCTATAACATAAATATGAAGTTACCTCAACTATAGAAAAACTTGTGAATTGATCGATGTAAGGATTTTCATAATATAAGTAAAAATATTCTGCCAATTCTGCTATATAGGGTTCATGATTATTTACTTCAACATTTAACGCATAACATAATATGAATAACATTTACCTCAAAATTACTTATTTTTTGCTGAATGTTACCTTCAGCTACTTGAATATTATAATTATTCTGACATTCAATGCTAGGCTCGGTTCACAAGAAAAAGCTAGTAACACACACACACACAAGGATCCTTAATGAGAGACCATTAGTAATTGCCAGGTTACTGTTATTCTCATTGTCCTTCAACTACCATTAATGCATTTATGCTAAAATGTCTTTACCATATGCGTTCAACAAGGTCTCTTTTAATTTTACAACTACAACACAATTGGTGGCCTATTGTCTTTTGGAACACTTAATATCTTTTAAGCAATACGAGTTAGTCACTGTTTACGATAGCGACGATTGTAACTGTTCGTTGTTAACAATGAATACAAAAATTATGCTTGCATTATCAAGACGTTGCCACAATAATATTTTTGAAGACAATACAGGATTAACGGCTTCCAAAATTCGATGTGTTGAATTGATTTGTTTTAATCTAAACAAGTTACATACACACTATACAATTTTGAGCATATTTAGGTTTGTATAGAAAATGTTATTCTCTGTATGTGTGTATGAGTACAGTACGCCCAGCATCGTATTATGGAAATACCGTTGCTAATAAAATTTCACACCTCAGCCATTGTACAAATCTTCAGTTAAAAAAAATGCAATATTCTTTGTCGAATTGCCGCACTTTGATTGCAATCAATAATTCAAATTGCTGCATTACCAGTATGTTAATTCTCATATTCGTGCTTAACTTTAACTAAAACTAGGGCGATACGCAGCAAAGTTTAATTGATATGCCAGTCTCGGTACGTTTGGCAAACTACCTATACATATGCCAAGGCGCTCAAAACCTCAATCGTAAATGGAGTACGCGTGGCGCAATGTCCTGTCCTTCTTTAAAATTTACTCAGACTTAATATTACACATCTTTTACTAACGGAAAATTGTCTTTAATCACACTGAAGGAAATGGGTTGAAATCAATTTGGCGTGGTGTCTCGTCTACCAATATAGACCGTCATTTCCCGTGCGTGTTGAAAGACTCAGCTAAGAGATTGTATCAAAAGTGTGGGTAGCAACATTCAAGCACTTACACACATCATTGCACTATGACCAGTTATCCGCTTGTTATATGTGATTAACGCAACACACCGTAAGGTCATCTTTTATTAGATTTTTTTTTCAATTTATGAAAATTTACTTATAATAATTTTGCAAGTCTTTTGATACTGTTCAATAAAAAAGACTGATTCAAACGCTCTGTACACAACTCATATAAACAAGGGCTTAGAGATCCTTGTGATGAAACATTGAGTCATGTGCGTAGGTATTTCACGGTTCATATTACGTCATCGAAAATGTCATCCGTGAGACCTCGAAATTGTTCCGTCGCCATAACATTCAACCATCGATCAACATCAGTACACATGAGAACAAAATAACTTCCCGATAACAACTGCGATAACCGTTTATATTGATGATACCTAGATAGTTTCATAAAGTAAATTATATAATAGAAGTGAGTAGGTACTTATTCTAATTACTTATCAAATTACCTGTTTCTCCATTTCGAGGATGCTTGTCAGTGGATTTGTTGTTTGGCTCTAGACGTGTCACGTCTAACAATATACCCGCATCCAACGACGATTCAGTAGCGTTACTGTCGCGTTGGCAGAGATTTCCTGTCCTCCTCTTTCTTGTCCCGTAAGTATGCACAGGCACTATTAACTTTGGTCTTGGTATCGAAAAATCCGAGTCCGACCCGCTGGATGAACTTTTAGCACTCCTAGAAAACACACCATTACCATTTGTTGTGACACGCTCTTCACTAATTCGATCTTTTTGTGTTCCGAAAGACATAATGTCATTGTATCTATCGTACCTATCATCACTTTTCACTCTCACTGTATTGTATAGTTTCCCGTACTTATCACGTTTGATTTGCTTTGCAGCACCGTTTATAGTCCGATAGTCACTTTCTTTACTTTGATCAGTAGAGTGTAACCCATTTGCAATCGGCGGGGTGGATTGACTTCCGTTAAACATTTCGTACTGCATTAACGTCAGCTGTTCGCTCGGTGACAGATTCCTTTTCGGTTGCGTGACAGTGACTTCATTATAAGTCTCGTCAGGCTGGACCGCGTCGAGATAAGCTCTAAGTGGCGCTCTTCCTTCGCTTTTTACTCTCAATGATTTAGAACGAAAGCTAGGTTTATTATCATCGATGCGTCCGTTTCGTTCGTTTGCTGGTTGCGTTGTGTGCTTAGGAATTTGATCGCATGTAGATAACGACTTGTTAACAGGCTGCATGTATATACCCAAATCTTCCGCTTCACAATCTATATCGAGGTTTTGTTTACCGTTTCTGGATTTAATTGTACTTAAGTCTAAAGTTGCCATAGAGTTTATCAATTGGTACATAGTATTTCCATTTTGTTTCATGGGCTCACCATGATTACTTTTATCTTTTTTTGTATCCTTTTGCATCTGTTTTATCTTGTCACTATCAGTGTCATTATTTTGCTGACTTACCCTGGAGTAGTATTCATAATATGATTCTGAGGATGGGTCAGGTGGGACTGCACCCGGATCAGGTAATGGATAATAACTTTTCTTTGAGTCAACCTTTCTTTGTCGATGGGCATATTTTAAAGAATCCTTACGTTGAGGCGGGACAGGTGGCTGTTTACTGTTCGATGCGAACGCTTCAATATCCCATTCAGTGAAATTTCTACGTTTAACTCTTCTTAAAGTCGACGGCCTATATCCATTTGGCATATCTTTAAAACTATAACTATGTTTCAATTTATTCTGTGCGAGAAGATTATTATTTGCTCTCGCTTTCTCTTCTATGTTTTGTTGATATTTAGCTAATTGAGATATGTTTTCATTAGGAACATCGTTATTAGAATAATTATATTCATTATCTTCCAATGAATATGTTTTGCTATCATAATCTTTGTCACTAGTGCGACCAACGTCTCTGCATGATTTACTTCTTGATATGGAATTGAATTTACTAGAGTTTGATTGGTCGTCGTTTTCGTTATATGAACTGAGATTCTTTGCACCAACCCAGTTGGCTGCATATACGAGATCCATAGTTCTGTCCGTAATGGACAGCCACGGGTCCTCCATGACCGCTTTTCCAGGATAATGCTTGATTTTCATAGTGTTGTCAATTTCTTCTTTGCCGCTTCGTTTACTTCATTGTTGAGCCTGCAGATTTGGAAGTGAAAAGACGTGCTTAATAACTTAAATTCCATTTTCCCGTTGGATGGATGTTATCAACCAGCTGCTAAAGGTTACTACGGTCGAACGTCATTAGACGGGAGATTAATGTGACGCACTCGCTGTTTTTGTTAGTATACAATAATCAGGAACATAAATTACTCGAGTCAATCTGTGAAGTATACAGATTTAATGCTGCAGCAAAATTTTCAACATGTAATTGCATATTATTATCTCTTAAGGTAATTAGTTGAGTGCACATTTCTCAATTTTCCAAGTAAGTAATTGCTTTAGTAATGGCGCATTCGATTGATTAATGTATAACAATGGAATGATTTTGCAACCACTTCTATAACTACGTACTTATTCGTGTCTAGAAACTTGATTATTTTTACCCGAGACACAAAGCGAATGCAACTTCTCGACAGCTGCACAATAACTGCATTACTAACGAAGTTCTTTTCAATTTTATCTCTATAGATAATTTTTTGTGTTTCTTTACTATAATAATATCACAATAAGTTATTTTTCAATTATGACTCAATATTGTTATCGTAACAGTATTGAATGACTCACCAATATTTTCTTTTTGTGATAAAATTATTTAGATTATTATACACGCTTACTGTTACGCATTTATTTATTTATATTGGGATTTAATCATGAAACATATCATTAGATAATTTTCGTATTTAATGACAAATAATTTATAATTTTAATTGTAGGAGCAGTTTCTCGCCAATTTTATAATAAGATCTTTTACATTTTATTTTAAAGCCCATTCATCTACAAGTAAGTCAACATCAGGTACCCAAGCCTATTGTAAAGAACGTTCATGCTTAATGACCTTGAAGCCGGTATTGTTTGGGCAAAAAAATATTCTCAAGCAGTAAACTACGTAAGAGCGGACGCGTCACGGGACGCAAGCACGGCCACGACCGTTGCACAAGACATGACTTGGTCCAATACATCAACAACAAGGAAGTGCTAACTGGGCCTCAAGAGCCCATAAGGCGAATGCAAATGGAATCAAATTGCGTAATAATTAGATAATGAGGGCTGAGTGAGTGCGAGCGGTAGCTGGCGAAGCAACAGCATATGACTAGTTTATTATTAATCATAATGAAGCACTTTCACTGGGAAATTAAACGAGACTATTAAAAGCAGATGTGGATATTATTATTGTAGATATGGAATCGAAAGTCAGTCGTGTACTAGAAACGTACTTATCAAACAATAAAGATAAGGAAATAAACAAAAACAATGTGGGCGAGGGGAACAAAAACAAACGATATGTGTTTAGTTGTAACAAATTAGCAACAATCGTTAAACGCCTGATCGAGTTAGTAGGAAACGATTTCTAAGACATCAGCCGATAGACGAGTTGAAACAAGTTCATTGGTCCACATATCCAGTCGGCTGGTCAGCGATGATACGTGAGAAACATATCCAGGAACTTGAGAAATTGTGGCCAATACATGGCTAACAATTTTTCCATTAGCAGATCATAAAATGAAGATACAATAAGTCAATTACAGTGCACTGCACAGATTCAAACAGGAACGTACAGAACAGCGACTCTAATAATGACGAGTGTGATGTCAGTTATTTTATATAGAATTTGGTTTAAAATACAAACAGGAACAGTTATAGTAAGTGCCACATTTTCCTTAAATGTTTACAACGTTGAATTTTATCTTCAAACAAAGAAGGTAAAACTGTTTAGCCTTCAAACTTTAAAATGAAAACCGAATTTATGTAATAATACAACTTAATTCATAAATTTTATGAATTATATTTATTAATTTACCATAGCTGTGCCGATAATTAAACTACATCATTATAAACAAAACAAATAATTGTCAGCATTTGTTATGTTATGCATGTTTTCATTAACATTTGCAGTATAAATGCTTTGGAGGCAATAAAACCGTTGACTCATCAATGGAGTACAAAGTCATTGATAGAATGACAATTTATTAGTCAGAAGCGCAAATAGCATGCGCTGAATTTATTTAGAACTAACGGTAAGTTACACGAATCATAAACAATGGTAGCCCTTTCTCCTATTTACTCGTATTTACTATTCACTGTGACATTCGCGGTACATTATTCTATCAGGATAATATCAAAGTATTCCACACAAACAAGACAATGATAAAACAACATTTCTGTTTGACTTGCTTTGCTTAAGCAATTATTATGATGGCGTAAAATTACACTGCCGGTATTGTGACCATCAACTAACACTTCCATTTCGAAATGTCTGTATTGTACAAACACTTTCTATATTTTGATGATATATGTAATAATCGGAATAGTTATTATTGTGATAACATCGACATCGTAGTTATGTTTACCATTGTTAACATAGCACGCAAGGGAGACAATCCTACATATATGTTGATAACATCACAAGCATTTAACTTTCTAATCTTTGTTTGAATACTAAAACGTGACAATGATTCGTACGCGCATATTGAATCGATTTATGATAGTCGATAAACAAGTTCCAAAGTATGTTAATGCAATAATGATTTTAAATAAGTTAACGAAGCGTGAATTGATTCGTATTGCAATACTTGCATTGGGTCTATCATTAATTATAAAATCAGTCCTTGGTCAATTTAGTCCTGAACATAATTCGCCACAAATATTTACGACGTGACTGTTTGCACCGTATGTTCACGATTAATGTTGTTGATATCATTCAAGAGACATGGTTTCAAAGACAGTGATGTCATACTGCTCGGCCAAACATAAGCATAGAAAGCTTGGACATTAATATGCTAAAATATCTTCACTCTGAAGACAACGTTCCAAAATACTTTCACAGCACACGGGTAGTGCACGCAAATACGAGAGGCTTGCAATAACCTTGTAGTGCATGAGAGCCTCCGAAATGTTACTTTCAAATCGTTTATCGGACCAAAGGACACACGATGTGAATAAAAATATTCACGTAAAATACAATATTTTTTTAAATGTATTAAATTTAAAAAGTATTTTGTTGCATATAGTTAACCAAAAAAATTATAATTTTGCTGCAGCATTATGACTAGGGAACTAGTTAAATGAGAATCCTTTTCGGTGCACGGATTAACGTTTATCCCCCGAAATCTCTCTGGTGCAGCGACAGCTGCAACATCCGCGAATATGCACTTTATTTCAACACAAACACAGCACAATATTTACCATAGTTCAATGGAATTAGTCTCTTCAATTCGTTTTGATTGAGAAACAAAAACTATAAACAAATCACATCGCTTGTCTCACAATAAGTCGATCGCGACTATTTTAAATTCGGAACGCGAGACATTGGGGACACGGCGACCAATCACGTCAGCGCCGCTCCGCTTACTGCTCTACTCCGATCCGATCAACTCCTGCGCAAACGCAGCCGGCTGACGGCGCGTGCGATTGAGACAGACAACGTGCCAGACAAAGACGAAAGATATACTTACCTGAATAATAAAAGCTCCAAGCTCACAAAAGGTGGACGAGGTGGTGAACCTTTTAATTTTGATCCTAGAGATATACAGCAGAACATTAAATCGAGACTAAAAAAGAATTTATATCAGACAATAATGGTTTTCATGAATTCAGTACTAGTTTCACTCAAATATGTAGTTGTACACTTGTTCAAATATTGAAACAATCATAGACGACAAGAGCTTGATTAAAGTGATGATGAAAAATCAAAAAACATTGGTACAAGGTGACGTTCATTTCCATTCTCGTTTTTATCACAATTAAAACATTAATGTAGCAACAACAGGTTAAAAATGACAAAAATTCACTATCAAACATCATCATTTTGTGAACGAGTTAAATCGGCAAGGTAGTGCCCGTGACCGAATAGCTATCAAATGCTTTTCATTGTATAAAAGACCTTCAAACAGACACCAAAAAAGTCATTAGTCTATTTTAAAAGTATATAAATGTAGCGCTATTTATCTACGTTAATCATTTACACTGGTGCCTTGAAAAATGAAGATAACCAATAACCAAATACATAGTGAAAATGAATCATTGAGGGAAACATATCTATCTCAGTGAGGACTTTTCAAAAAGTCATTGACTATTCAATTATAAAGAGCTTCATATTAGTTTTATTAGTAAGAACACTTTAAATAAATGTAAATCTAAAAAGGGAAGGTTTTCGCGATTAATAATTGACGTAAACTGTGAAATCAGCGTAAATAAGTTTCTGAATGACTGACTACACAAATAATGAAGTAAATGAAAAAGAAAAGTTTATCAATAATAACAGCGAAACAAATAAAATGGAAAAGAAAGCAGATAATAGATTAAATTGCAGTAACAAACGTAAAAAATAATAATTTCGAACTGTCATTGCGGTAATCATCGAAGCGTAGAAAAGAATGGAACACGTTTTCAATGTGAATAAAGTTATAATCAGTATTTAGAATGTACATGAGTCTTAAGTACTAACGAAGACTGACTTTAAACAGCAAAAACTACAGTAAGAGGAAAGTTATCGCTTCATATAAATCACGTAACATGTCTTCTAAACCAGTTACTGTGTTCTTAGGTTTAAAAAGCGCGATATTTTTTTTCATAAAAATAAATTCTACAGTTAAATTTCCGCGGTATAACGTGCAGTAATGGGTGCAGAACATAACCGCTCCGTTGGACATCACTGAGATATCATCATAAACGTATTATACACAGAATTCGTGATCACAAAACTCGTTCTACAAGACGTGTCGAAGATATAAATTAGGTTCATGTTTCATAATTTGTCTAGTCCTATCTTCTTGTTTTACATTTGCATCATTATCCACATGTCATGTTCTTCCTAAACGATGTGATGTGAGTGACAAAGATATTCTTCCTTTGCTTGCTGCTACTTGGTGCTAATGGAAAATTTTCCTTCTTTGTTTTTATTTTCCTTATTTTGGGTTAACATGATGTACAATCCTTTATCTTCCTCCTTACATCATTCATTTAGTTGTTTTTCGGTGTTTATATTTATTTATATCAAAACTGTTGCTGAGTAGTAAAACGCCATGTAATTATGGTCAGACTCAACGAATCGAAAGTTCAAGTAAAAGCAGAAATGCTAATCTCGAAGATGTTCAGTCGGATTTCATTTGTGACGCAATTATTCCACGGTCAAGGCTGTAGGCTGTAAATACTGTGATGGTTTCACTTTTAAGTACTTTTGTTGCCTTCAAACGGCTTTACGCTATATATAGGTGTACGTTCTATATTTTATTAAAACCTTCATCTGGTGGTAAAGAATAATCCTGGCTGAAGTTTTAGAATGTGTCATAACATGTTATAGAAACCACTTTTGCCTACTCATTTGGGAATAACCAATGATTACTGATATCATTATTGTCTTCTTCGCAGACATATCTTTATCTTGAGTTATTGGCTTTTAAGGAAAATCCCAAACTAATGTTTCGTTTTCCATTTTTTTTACCCTGAATGACTAGTATGAATACTCTTTTCATTTCTCCCTGTTAATTTCAAGTTTAAACGAAAATTCCACCGTTCACACCACAAATATCTACTTATGCAGTCGTCTCATTCATTTACAACCGTCCAAATGGGACGGGTGAATAGATGCTCATAGCATTACTTCCATTTGTTGCCTTATCTAATTGAACAATGAAGACAGGCATGCAGCCATTCTTTCCCCTCGTTTAAATATAACGCGGTATCAATGAATGACGTCATCGGCCCGTATCTTAATTGAAAGGGTGTCCTTATGCCGTGCTGTGGTAGTGAATACGTTCATTTTACAATTTATAGACTGTGGAACACACGGTGACTGGACAATAATGATTATAGTGTGTTGATTAGGTATGTTTTGTATTGATGGGTATCTCACCAGATTGCAAGAAATGGTAGAAAGTGATTAAAACATGCAAAAGTCGTAGAGAAATAATTTTTCATCACCGTTCAACACTGTTAATATTATAGTTTAGAACGACCGATCACAACGAGAATTACATACTTATATTACAATACAAAATGACAATTTCGAAATCATACATAAAGTACATCACACCAACAATAACAGAAAAAAAACATGAAATTCACACTAGACCTAAATCGTTGACCAGAACCAAGCAAATGGTGGTTATTACGCAACAGCACAAATGTTAAGTAACTGAAGACAGTTGTAACAAGTTTTAATAGAGCCAATATTAGAATTGGGTCACGATAACAAGGCAAAACATTGTTTATAGTAAGAACTGGAGATCATGAAGAGAAATCGTCAGATATGGATGGTCAGTCAGACGGAATGCACGCGTGGCGACACATTGCTAGATAATGCTCTTGCACACGCTGAGAATATTCTAGAACGTCTTAGTAGTAAATTAGACGCTCCAGTAAAATTAATCCAATTATATAACTTGACATAATATCACGATTGTTACTATCGCAATATCACGCATTTGTAGAAATAGAAGCGGACATTTTAGTTGTAGTATGTACTTACAGTTCGTAATGATTTTTGAGTCCAGTAAAGTAAGCAGGACGACAAATCATCGTATGGTAGAATTTTTTAAGGTTTAAAACATAATATAAATTTCCTCGTTTCATAAACTCAAGCTACTTCTGAAATGTTACTTTTGACATAGGGTCCGCGGAACCAAAGTACGACGAAAATCAAACAAATATAATATTTACCTACTAAAGTAGGTACGTCGCAGCGATATCATTACCTATTTAATTTAAAAATATCGTTAACCACGATAGTGTCTATTTACGTAAAAATAAGTGAAGTTACATAGTAATAAAAAATATTACGCCATTTTCTTCATTTTTGCGATAATAATATGATGATTGCATAGAAATACTTGAAATAACCAACCTAAGTACAAGCGCTAGAAATATAACATGCTGGCAGCACCTAAATGCAAATGGAAGCAAAGCAAAGTTCCAATGTTAAAACTGGAGCTTTGAACGAAATGTAGCAAATGGGTTCATTGATACTGCCAAAGATAAATTATATGCCCTACTTCTGAAAACTACACCTATGGCAATACATAGTAATGATAGTCAAGATCGAGTCATAACAGGCGTTAATTTGTTAACAGGTCAAATACGTATTATAAACAAAAATCTAGCCAACACCGTAATTCCGCTGTTACGAAACTCCTGCCCAAACAATTCATGCGTTGCCTCACAGAATAGTGCCCATACTACAACAGATAATTTGTCACATCCCTATGTTATAGAAGTCCACTATTACTATGTGCCTGATTCTGAGACGATTCACACAATAGGCTCAAATGTTTCGAGACATTAAGGTCGAGTTGGTCAACGACCAGGCTAAGCGAGTGGAACTTAAAGGAAAATTGCTTATTGCGTCAGATTGATGCGATTTGTAAAATTTCGGAATAGGTACGCAATTTCGTACGCACTCGATTTAAACACATTATAGTTTGCAACGAGACGTGACAAACATGTTTTGGACAAAAAGTTGTAAGAATGGACGTTCTTGCGAAATTATTTTGTGTGTATTCAGCAATACTAACTCAATATTCTAGGTTCATAGTCGAATCAAAGTATTTATTGGCAAATATAAAGTTCTCATTCATAATGAACACGATCTCAAAATTTTCTATTAATCAATTACCAAAATGAAAGTAGACTATTGTAAGTACATCTTACGTAAGACTATTAATATAACACAAATGTCCTAAACCTTTATTCTCCTTTAAAATAGAAAATGAGGCTATTATGCCACTGTTATGTCAGAATATCATAATTTGACCACTATTTTGTTTCACATAGGGTCTCTCTCACATTCCTTGACCTCTTGAGAACTACAAGAAATATAATTTCGCATTCTGATATTCTAAAATATTCATATTATTACAAAACTGTTATTATGATGTTTGTTTATAAATCGTAAATTAAAAGATTTTGTCAAAGAAAGACGTAACATAGAAACATATGAATACTTGAAATTCGATAGTTTTATTCACCGCTGTAGGACATACTCACGCGTAGCAATATGGTCAAATCCTATAGTATAGACGGTATAGACCTAATAATATAACTAACAAAACTGCAATAAACATACACAATAATAGGGTAGTATCTTAAATTTTATTGATGTGTCCGTCTGGTAGATTATTTTAAAACATTAGACACGTATTTTTTTCTTTTCTTCCAAAATTAAATACTTTAGGCGAAATGTTGATTTAAAATATCATTTTACGACGATCGACGTCATGATTCACCACATTTTATAGGGTAGCGTGACGTAACGACCGTTTTGTCTAAGTATTGTTTTCTTATTTTTATTTTTTATTTTATTTATTTAGAAAACCAACAGCGTTACATATAGTTTACAAAAGTTTGCGTGAATTACAGAGATTAAG